AGTCTTGTGCGAAGTATCTTAGATTATTGCAGTGTAGTGTGGAGACCACATTATGCGGTACATTCCCTTCGATTAGAACGCATTCAGAAGAGGTTCTTATGGCATTTGTTACGCAGGGAGAACAAGATAGACAAAAAATCTTCTTACTTGAACAAACTGTCACATTTCGGGATGGTCTCTTTATCTGATCGCAGAGAACTCTCCGATTGTATCTTTATGTATAAGATTTTAAACAATGGTGTAGACTGTCCACAGCTCTTGAGCAAGGTAAATTATAGAGTTCCTTTTTGTTACCCTCGTAAACAGATAACCCCTTTATACCCACCGCGTCGTAGAACAGTGCTTGGTGCAAACTCACCCATACCACGTCTGAGTCACGCCCTGAATAAATACTCTGATTCCACAGATGTTCACTTGGACTCGCTTGGTCGGTTCCGTTCCAGCGTGCATAAATGCATATTATCCAATCAACACAGATAGTGGATTATGTACCTATATGGTTTAGTATTTTGTGTTAGAACTAGATTTAAGGATAGTAATTAAGAACTTTTTTTTGTTATATACACATATTTGCACCAGTAAATGTTGTGGTTACCTGTAATTGTTTGTTACACATAGGCTCATTCCTCTTTGCTTGCTTGTATTATGCTTACTGTAGTTGTGTAATCAAATGTTGGTAACTCTTAATAAATAAATAAATAAATAAAAATAAATAAATAAATATGACAGTCCACTGCTTGACTCCCGATCTTGGTGGACTCGTCACCATCATCAACAGCCTATAAATGCCCACTGCTGTCCAAAAGCCTCTTCTTACACGGAGGTTTGAGCATTAATCACCACGGTTGCTCAATGCAGGTTGGCGATTACAAACTTATAATTAGGAATTATAGGCTCAGGGTGCTTACTCTTGAAACCAATCTCAATGTCAATTCAATTTCAATCCAATAAAATCTCAATAATTATTCAATGTCAACACTATACAACCCCAATCGTAGCTGTTACAATAGCATTCAGAGTACGGAATATAAAGACAAACTCAATACCATTTAGTTCATTCAATATCCACGCAATACGGATGCGATGGGCGCTAGTGTTGCAACTCAAGAGTACGAAATTTTACAATGTCAATGTCGATCGATCGGAATTGGATTCAAGAGTAAGCCCCCTGGTTTCCTCACGATGTTTTCCTTCACCGTTTGTTTTGCGCCGTGAGAAGCGATTGCTCAATTGCCTATTGTTTTTTTTTATAAAACGTTGCCCCACATTAGGATTGTCTCCTGTGTCGTGAGTGTGATTACAAACATACAAGTTCACATACACATTACACACAGACCCGGAACAACAATTTGCGGATCACACAAAGTGTTGTTCCGTGCGGGAATCGAACCCGCGACACGTTGCACGGCAGTCAACTTATATGGTCGTGACGGCGTCGCCAATATGATTAAGGGCGCCTGTGAGGTGCCTGCCTAAGGCGCTCTAAGTTTAATCCACCTCTGTGTTATGTATAATAGGAATCTTACCAAAACATATAATAAATGATGAAACTGTCGAATGTTCCCGCTACAACCGCGAATATTATGAAAACTATGACTTTAGGTATTTTCAGGACATCGCGCAACGCTTTGCCGGAGTCTTCAGGGCTTGATAGAGAGGGTAACTGAAATATCAACGTCAACGATCAATATGAAAGAAAGAAAGGAAAATCATTTATTCAGCACCAGGCACGATGTACCTCAAATAAAATATAAAAAAGACAATCAAGGTGTGACAGTGGAAGTAATAAAAACATTGAGTTGTAAAATATAGAAATCCTTACTAATATTATAAATCGGAAAGTGAGTTTGTTTGTTTGTTCCGCTTTCAAGCCGTAACTACTAAACCGATTGCCTTGATTTTTTGCGGACGTAAAGTTAGAAGTCCAGATTAAATAATAGGGTTGTGGCGACACATGTCACAAGTCAACGGATGACGTCATAAAATCCTACATCGCATCGCGAAGTTTACATTCGATTTAACACGGATAGAAAATCCCAACGAACAACTGTTGGGCAGAAAGCCCGCCAGGATCGATCACCTCGCCTGGTCGGAGGATCCTCCTTTTCCGATATTAGGGAACTATACTCTCTGTTCCCTAAAGGGTACTTTTTATCCCAAAAAAAAAATGATATTCCCGAGGGAAAAACAAAAGTATTGGTATAGATGGCGCTTTGTGTATTGGTATATGTCACATAGGCTACCTTTTTATCCTTTTGTGACGCGAGCGAAGCCGCGGGTAAAAGCTTGTATTAAAATATATGAAAGTCAAATATAGTCTGTTGCTTAATATCTTTTTACTTCGTCTTTAAAAAAAATGTTGCTCCACACTAGTATTGTCTCCTGTGTCGTGTGTCCGTTTACAAACATACAAGTTCACATACACATCACTCACTGACACGGAACAACAATTTGTGAATCACACAAAGAATTGAGTAGTTTCCAGGGTATCAAAATTAAAAATCTAATTAGTCCGTCAGTTAGATAATGAAAAACTATTAGATACGTATGTTTTTTATTTTCTCGTATTAACCAGTACGGTCTTGACCGTGATTGTGCGCGCACGCGGGGTCATTAACCTCTGCTACGACGATGGATAACGAATCGAAAAGATTAAAGTGTTCTAATTGTAATATAGTCATTTGTGAAGTTTTAGCTTTCGTTCAAAATAAGATCGATGTTATGACGGAAGAAAGCCTCGTACAAATCTGTGAAAGTGCTTTTAGTTCGGATGAGATTGAAGTAGCAAAATCGTTACTTTTTGAATCAGTGAACAAGCGGTTGAAGGCTAGAAAACGTCAAGGGAAGACTTTAAGGAATATCGAAGATATTATTTGCTTGTTTAAAGAAACGGACCCTGAACGGTTACCTATATTTGTGGCAAGAAATTTAGAAAAACTTCCACCCGTTACCTTCGATCATGTTGACGTTACACCTTTACTTAAAAGAATAGTTCTTTTAGAGAAAACCGTGCATGACATTCCACATAACTATGTGTCCAAGAGTGAATTGAAGGATTATATTATAGGACTAAACAAAGAAAATTCGTTTCTAGTTCAAGAAAGAAATGTTAATAATCGAAAAAGGGGAGGTAGATTGAATAATACAATCGACAGCGGACCTATGGCACTGACGTCATGCAACAATGTATCATTCAATGACGAAATAAACGAATTTAGTGAGTGTTCATCTATGTTGCATAAATCAGTGAACAAATCTGGTCGTTCGTGTCACTCATCACCCATTTTGGAGACACGCGTGACGAATAAAGTGCAGCTACCGGTGAAGTGCGGCAGCGTGGAGTGCGAGAGCGGGACCTCAAGTGAGTGTGTGTTGCGTCCTAGCACGAGCGCCGAGTCGACGGTGAATGGAACAGCTGTGGAGCGCACTGGCGGGTCGGTGAGTCATACTGTTATTGTTAACGATAAGGAGTTTAATAATTTAACTAAGAGCACGTTATCGCCACCAAAACAAGTTTCCTTTGCCGACCTACTTCAGAGAGAGGGTGAATGGAAGGTGCAAGCGAAGGATGAAGCCTGGCATTTGGTACAGAGAAATAGATTTAAAAACCGTTTGATTAGTCGGACAGGCAGTGCGGTTATTAATTCTAGCGAGAATAGCTCTAAGTTTAAAGCGGCGGAATCGAAAGTGCCACTGTTTATATCTAACGTGAATAGGGATGTAACTGAACAGGATATAATTAATTACATATACGATAAAACGCGAGAAACAGTTTCGTTAGTAAAAATCAAAATGAAGCAAGAAAGGAACTACAACGCATATAAACTGTATGTAACTAAATATAAAATAACTGACTTCCTGGACGACAAGTTTTGGCCATCAGGAATATCGTTCAGGCGTTTTCTGAACCTATCTCAGAATAAAAACAGGAGACAGGGCCTTGAAAATCGTAGTTCAGAAAGACAGATTAATACAAATATTTGTTAAAATTGAATTAATTAATTAATAATAATTATGGATTGCTACAGTGAAATAATAAGTTTTAACTGTAAATCTTTGAAGAGATCTTTAGAAGGAATCAGGACGTTATGCGTAACAGCTGACGTGCTAGCCCTTCAGGAAACCTGGCTGCTTCCGCATGACTTGCCGCTGCTTAATACAATCGACGACGGGTTCGGGTGCACCGGCACGTCTGCGGTCGACACTACGGAGGGTGTACTCAGCGGGAGGCCCTATGGCGGCGTCGCGCTGTTGTGGCGTAAAAGTGCGTTCGAATCTGTGTCCGTGATTGAGTGTAGTAACGTGCGGGTCTGTGCGATAAAGATAACCGTAGGCGGTAGGTCAGCGGTACTTTTTAGTGTATATATGCCTACTAACTCCTATGACAATCTACCCGAATTTACCGCGTGTTTTAGTGCGATTCGGTCGGTAGTTGAAGTGGAGGAGAACAATGGTGTTGAGGCCTTTTATATATTGGGCGACTTTAATGCTCATCCAAATGAGTTGTTTCATAATGAAATGTTAGCTTTATGTATGCGTTGCCCGCCCCCCACGTGATCTGATGTTCGATCGGGCCGTGTGGTTAGATTTGAGGGGGCTTATTATTATTATTATTATTATTAAGTTGCAATACTTAGATAAAATGGCGCTAAGTTTAGGAGTGGAATGTCGTTACGTCACAACGTGCTACAAAATGTGACACGCTGTGACGTCACACGATATTTCAAATTAATATATCGTCGAAAGTATTTAATTTTGTGAGAAAAGAAAAAATACGTGTCTAAAGTAATCTACCAGACGGACATTAAAATAAAATTTAGGAAACTACCCTTTTGCTCCGTGCGGGACGCGCAGACGCGCGGGGTACAGTAAGATTTTACTCACAGTAAGAGCTCGACAGCTGTATAAATCTATGGCGGTCGCTATTAAAGCCACCACGAATGCTGGAGTGAAGTCCTTGTACTCCTTGCCACCAGATACACTGTCAATCAACCACCCACCCAATAATGCTGTCAAACCATACCCCGCGGTACCCCAAGCTCTTTGGGCCCCGTATTTCGAGCCTCGATCCGGCCCTGGAAAAAAAAATTGAAATATATTTTTGAAGGGGTACATTCTAGACTTTATTATTGACTACGATCATTAGATCGTAGCCTAATAATATTAGTATGGTAGTATAATAGTAAAAGTAGATAATAAAGCCTAGAATCAATAATATAGCCTGTTCAATCATCGACGGAAGTAAGTGCAATAGGTAAAAGTCTCAGGTTCATTTCAAGAGTAGGGCATAGTGTTATTAGGGTTTTATTCAGTTTATCGATTGTCTCATTGGCCGAGTGGTCACAAGTGCGACTGCCGGGCAAGGAGACTCGGGTCCGATTCCCGGGTCGCGCCAAGTATACTGGGTTTTTAAAAAAAAATCAAAGTAGTAGCACGGAGTCTGGAATTATGCCCGGTATATGGCAATACGCTCACCCCCTATTACATGGGACTCTTAACATAAACAGTGAAAATTGGGTGTTACATTGTACAGTGGCAGTAAATGCCGTAATGTGCACCTCTGCGCAAACGCAGTAACAATGATGACTGCCTAGTTGGTAGAGTAGTCGCAAGAACAATTGCCAATTAAGGGGTCTAAGATTCGAGTCAAGGCCTCAAGGGTCAGGTAAAGTGTTTTACGGTTTTATTCAGTTTATCGAATTCAGCAACAGCAAAGTGTAACTATGACCGGTGAAGGTCTTAGGTTCAATTCCAGGATCGGGAAAATTGTCATTCGAGATTTTTCTGTTTTGATACACAGTAGTAGCATGGAGACGGGAATTGTTACCGGCGTGACCCCCTATTACATGGGACTCATAACATAACATAACGTCACGCCTTTTATCCCCGAAGGGGTAGGCAGAGGTGCACATTATGCCACTGGACAATGTAACACCCACTTTTCACTATTTATGTTACGAGTCCCAATCCCATGTAATAGGGGGTGAGCCTATTGCCATATACCGGGCACAATTTCCGACTCCGTGCTACTACTGAGATTTTTTTTAAAAACCCAGTAATACTTTGCCCGACCCGGGAATCGAACCCGAGACCCCTTGCCCGGCAGTCGCACTTGTGCCCACTCGGCCAACGAGGCAGTCGTATTACATGGGACTCATAACAAAACTATGGAAAAGTGATATTAAATAACTTCGGATATTAAAAGGTGTGATACTTACCAAGAACATCGAAGCAGACAGCATCACCAATACAATTGGCTACATTGAACGCAACGGTACCAATACACATTAAAATAACGAACGCCCAGAATGCAGCAGTCATATAAAAATTATCATTTTTCTTCTCATCAGCACTTAAAGTACTATTTCCATTTAAATCTTCAACACTTCTTCTAGTCTTATTCCCTCCAATATCACTCTCATTCTCATAACAAAGTAAATTACAATTATCTTTCGGTAAACACATAACATCGCCATTTTGAATATTATCAAAATCCATAGACAAAACAGAGCAGGATGTATTAGAAACTACATCGTCTATATACACTGTGGTTACAAATGGCGTATCTGACAGGTAAACGTCAAAATTTCCCGCCAAAGTGCAGTTCCAATGACATTTGTATTTTTCTAACGAACTGTCGTTTGTGTTTTGTTTTAAATATATCGTGTCGTTTAGGCGATAGACGGATTCTAATAGTTTGGTGTCAGTCTTTGGTTCTGGCATAGGTAGAAACCAGAGGCAGCAGTATGATCCCGTCATTATCGTTATAAGTAGCATGAAGACTAGTTTTCTGTGTGCCTGAAAATGGAAAAAATATTATTATAACTTGGGTATAATGTCTATCGCTAGATAGATAGCATTGACTAATGGAATTAGTACATTATTAACTGCACAGTTGGTGCGGTGGCTGGGCAACCTTAACCATACCTCTTTTTTTATTTTTATTACAGAAAACTCAACAGCTTATTTAGTAAATGCTACATCTATAATAATGACAAGGCATGGAAACTTAAGCCAATAGCAGAGTTTTTCAGCATGCGTTAGGTAAAAGTAGGAGAGTGAGCAATATAAAATAAAATTAAACAATCAAGGACATTTTTTTATAAAGCAATAATTAAGAAGAATAATAATGTTATAAGAGTCACGCACTAGTGAGTATTTGTATAAGCGACTTACGAAAGGATACCTTTGACAAATTAAAGGTCTTTCGCTTCATCAACATCAAGCTCGTTTGTTAATGGTAGTTTTAATTTGGCGGTTCTTTCGCCATCGCCAATAACTTATAATATATACTTACCGGCCAGAAATCCACAATATAACCAAACAAAGGTTTTGCAGCTGCCCACAAGAGTGGTAGGACTGCTGTCACCATCCCCATGACTGAGGGAGACACTCCCAGCTGTCGTCCGAACACATTGATCTGTGGAAGTATCGGGCCCAGGGCTGTGGACAAGAGAACGTTCTAATTAGAACTAAAGATATGGCGATATCACCATTTTTGTTGGAAATATTTCTTTAGGCCGTATACCGTTACGTTTACTTTTAAAGTAATCTGGTTGGTTCATTGGCGCCGGCCCATCAGAGTGCCGAACGCGTACTCGTTTGGAATACTTTATATATATTTAGAATAGCCGGAGCCCCGGTAACCACTTAAGTTCTCCAGGGCTCCGTATCGGCATCAGACCTATTGGGCCCCATCATTGGTGGTCTGCTCTTTGAGGCGCGCGCGGAACACGATGCGCCGTACGCTCGGGTCTGGTTCTGGTCGGGCGGCGAGCCACCAATGCTCGCCGTCCGCAGGCCCGCGCTTACAGTGGCCGGAGATCATCCCGCGATAATGACGCCAGGTATACGATAGAGTTGAAAACCCTAATAAAGATAATTTTACAGAAAAGACGGTAGATTGATCTGTTGTCTATAATACAACGAGTACATATCAACTAAAGCAGACATATTCCAAATAGCAATATGAGTATGTTCTGCATTTTTCAGGTCACCTAACGAGCCAATCGCTGAAAAGTTTTAATAACGATGATAAACGCAATAGATTTCATTAGCCAGGTCTATTTATAGCAGCACATTGATTGTACGAATGCACATTGCACATTGGACAATGCCAATACATTGCGTTTCGACAGGGCCGTACTTGGAATGTCTGGGGCCCTCGATTAACACGTGTAGGTGGGCCCATCTGTGTGATTGTTATAATAAGGTTAGTTTAAGTACATGATCTACATTTGTCGTATTTTTAGGGGCCATAAACCTCTTATAATATAAAATAAATAGTATCTTGTGTAGATATACGGCCTGGCATACTACGAATTAATTACATAGGTCTATTTGAGTAATTACATTCGGTAATTAACCAAATTTGTTTAGCGCTTTGACCAAGAGCAAGCTCTTCTAGTTGAATAGTTAATTTATTTTCTCAGCAATTAATTTAGTTTGTTAGTAGCTGCGCGAAGTGTGTATTTGTTTAGCTCGTTTGTCTCTTAATTTATTTACTACCGAAAACTGACTATGTTATAACAATAACAGACGAATTGTTAACGTAGTTAATGTTTGTAATTATGCAAAAAAATATTAACAAAAGGAAAGATTGAATTGCAAATATAAATTGTTAGTAGAATCATTAGTATAATGACCCTATTTAATTAAAATGCAAGCTGTTGCCCGCGACTTAGTCTGTGTAGAATATGAATTTTAGAATATAATGTTTTTTGTTTCAATTTTTCTTTTTTTTTATTTGCTTTTTTAATTTTAGGGACTTTTATACCGCACACCGTATGTCAGTCCCATCGTAGCCCAATAAGTGTATAAATGAACTAGAGATCAATAAATCAGAGCCATGAAGTACACAAAATAGTGTCTTTCCCTTGTTTGGCTGCATATTTGGCCAACATCTCAGCCTTCTCGTTCCCGTGTATTCCAATATGCGATGGGACCCACTGCTGTTTCAAATTTCCTAAATAAAAGTCGCCTATGTTACTTCTTCGTACATCAGCTACCTGCCAATTAAGGACTGATTTTGCAAAAAAGTCTTGCAAAATCAGTCTAGCCTTTCCAGAGGTTACCCAGTACAAACAGACAAATAGATGTTATTTTGGTATGTGTATCGTATGTATATTCATATGCATGTAGTAAAAAGCTGTTATTTTAAACTGTCAAACACCAAGCGGTCACCGGTGACCGCAACCTATTGTTCTATAATTGTGTCTATAATGACGGTACTCGACGAGTTAATATTACAAATAGACACTACAATAGGATAGTTTCCAGGGTAACAAAATTAAAAATCTAATTAATCCGTCAGTTAGATAATGAAAAAATATCAGACACTATTTATTTCAGTATTTTCTCGTATAAAGTTACAATACTTATATAAATGGAGTTAAGTTTAGGAGTGGGAGGTAGTTACGTCACAACGTGCTACATTTTGTAGCACCCTGTGACGTCACACGATATTTCAAATCATTGTATCGTCGAAAACATTTAATATTATGAGAAAAGAAAAAATACGTGTCTAATGTTTTAAAATAATCTACCAGACGGACATTACAATAAAATTAAGGAAACTACCTTATTATTTTATTAATTTGCATAGATGTACAGATTGCACTGCAAGACAAGGGCCCCCAAACTATCGTGAACAGTTAGTTAGGTCAGTTTCTCGAGTTGCACCCCAAATAGTCATTTACTAAGTTCGTACCTGTATTTGAGTCATATCATACGTGATTATTGAATTCAATTTATGTATTTTGCAGCGCATGTGTCGACGTTCTTATCTAAAGTATTTATTTATATTTTATATACTTACTATATTAATATTATAAATGCGAAAATACGTGTGCTTGTTTAACTTTCCGTCTTTCATTGCAAAATGGAGCGGCAAATTGGCGTGTTTTTAAATGGAGATAGTTGAAGGGATGATGAGCAACATCGGCTACTGTTTCTCTCTTTTTGACCCCTCCATTTCCCTTAAATGGGGGAGGGGTAGACGTTTATATAGTGGACTAGCAAATCCGGCGAACTCCGTATCGCCACCAGATGAAGATATTTTTTTTGTTTTATATTTTATAAACCTCACGGAGCCCTAGACCTTTCCAACGAATGCAAAACCGTGGAAATCGGTTCGCGTGTTCTGGAGTTATAGCGTCAGGAAGGAAAACCCGACTGATTTTTATATAGTAAGATTTCGTAAAGTTCAAGGTCAAGTTAAAAATTGGTATGCAAACTATTAATGACTAACAAATCATTTTCTTTTTGTAAATCTGCGTCCAACATTTTAAAATAGCGCGAATAAAGCCGCGGGTAAAAGACTAGTGTACTATAATTATGTTACAATTATACCCAAGCTTACGTTTGTTTATTTATACTCATTTATTTTAATTGCTTCAACGTTTAAGTGATTGCTAATGCCACTCGTGTATAAACGAGTAGTGACATTGATATAGTATGACGTGTCATATTCTCCTTAGGACGAAAACAGAGAAGCACATACATATTTTCACCAATTATCTAGTTCACTAGATAATTGGTGAAAATGCCATGCAGTAATGAATGAGGGTTGACCAAAGGGTCTCAAGATTCTTGAGTCGGGAACATTTTCAGGTACTTTGGTTTACGACATGATCGCACTTTCATCCCTGAGTCGTTGTCTTTTTGCACAGCTCTTTTTAGCGCCGGCTCCACCGGACATACCACGGCCTCACAGAAAACCGACGTGAAACAATGCTTGCGTTGTGTTTCCTCGTGTGAGTGGTTACCGGAGACCCAACTACACTACCCAATCTCCTCAATCCCTGAATCCCCGACATCCTCAAATTCCTAATCCCTAAAAGGCCGGTAACGCACTTAAAACACGTCTAGTGTTCTAGGTGTCAATGGGTGACGCTGATTGCTTACTATCAGGTGATGCGTCTGTTCGTTTACCGGCTTATCCTATAAAAAAAAGCGCTGAGAATTGAAGCCACTAGTTCAATTGACCAGTTTGACTTGTTTTTTTTAACTCGGTTCTCTAAGTGTTGAATCTGTTTATAATTATAATTACAGTTAGTTAACTCGTTAGTGGTTAGTGTTGTAGTGGTGACGATAAAAAACGAGTATCTATACTGATATTATGTCGCGGAGAACCTAACGGGTAACCGAGGCTCCAGCTCGACGTGCAGGAGAAGGAACGGGGTGGATTTTAGTCAGTAAGAGTCTGACAATCCCTCCCGCTCCACCCAGGCGGGAGAAGTCATTCGATGATTATCCCCCCTTAGAAAAGGTGACCGAGAAATTTTTGAAAACCTGTTTAAGACTCTAACAACACTGCCTAATCCAGAATCAATCCTAAACCCCTCGTTCGTTATTCACACTTGTAATTGCAACCATCAAACGGAATTTTCAATGGGGGGCTACCGTACATTTGCTGACCAGTTGTAGGAAGACGTCTTTTGTTCTATCACTGCAGCTGTCAAATATTAGCTAATTCTCCATTGGACGAAGAACTATAGAACAATAGCGCCATCTAGGGCAAAAATACGCTAAGCCCCATTTATTTATTGTTAAGATTACCTCTCTAACTGCCGTACTAAGAGACAACAAACTATTTCTTAATAACACAACATAATATCATGCTTTTTACCCCCGAAGGGGTAGGCAGAGGTGCACACAGAAGTAACACCCACTTTTCACTATTTATGTTATGAGTCCCATGTTATAGGGGGTGAGTCTATTGCCACATACCCGCCACGATTCAGACGCCGTGCTACTACTGAGATTTTTTTAAAAACCTAGTATTACTTTGGCCGATCCGGGAATCGAACCCGAGACCCCTTGCCCGGCAGTCGCACTTGCGACCATTCGGCCAATGAGGCAGCCCCATTCATTCTCTAACTGCCGTACTAAAACTATTTCTTTATAAATACTCTGTTTTTTAAAACTCAGCTAACTCACTATGTAGATAACAAATCCTGAGCTAACATACTTCACAAATTATGGCCATAATTCTCGCGGGCAATGACGAAACAACATGTTATAAAACATGTACCGTACGACTGAGGACTAAGCTTCATCTTAGTTTTACGATATTTTTACACCGACATTATCTTCAGCTTATGGCTAATTATTTCACAAGGCTATAGGAAAATCTTGAGATTTCCTCAACTATTTATAAGGCTAATTGTCCGCCATGCGTCATTTGACGAACGCATGCAATGCAGCAGCTGTAGCCAAATACCATTTAGCGTTTATCTACTTGTAGAATAGAAAACCAAATTATATAGGATTGACGTAAATTTTGACACTTGTCAGTGTCATCCCCATACATTTAGTTTTACGTTCTCTCTGTAGACAAGCGCTAAAGTGGCGTTTGGCTGACAAATGACAATAAGCGGCCTACAAATGACAAATGCTTGCATATTGAATAATGAAAACTGTCCAGAAAGCGGTAATTGGGT